TTATGGTCACAGAAGTACCCCCCTGCCCAAACCAACAAACAATTATGAACCTCGAAGTATCCGTGAGCAGCAGAGACTGCAAAAAATCATAGTTTTGGACCAACTCCTACACCCTAAACCCTAAACCCTAAAACCTCCCCCTCCCCCTCGTTGATGTTTCATTGTTGAGGGCTCTGGTCCCAAAAGCAGTGGAGCGAGCCAAGGGCTTAGGGCTTAGAGCTCAGGGCTTAGGGCTCAGGGCTCAGGGCTCAGGGCTTAGGGCTTAGGGCTTAGGGCTTAGGGCTTGGGGTTGAGGGTTGAGGGTGAAGGGTGTGGGGTGTAGGGTTTAGGGTTAGGGTTTAGGGTTTAGGGTTTCGGGTTTAGGGTTTAGGGTTTAGGGTTTAGGGTTTAGGGTTTAGGGTTTAGGGTTTAGGGTTTAGGGTTTAGGGTTTAGGGTTTAGGGTTTAGGGTTTAGGGTGCCTTGGCAGCGCTTGAGGCCTTCTCTACCCCACCCGTCACAGAGAGTGATTGAATCCGTCTTGGCACCCTCAACCCTTGACCCTACGACTAGGCCCTAAACCCTGAAACCTATACAAAAAAAAGCACCACAACATCCAATGCTTCTTCATCCCCGAGGTGTGGAGTTGTTGAGTGTTTGGGCCTGGGGTGTTGTTTTTTTTTTTTTTTTTTTTGTGGCTTTGGTGGCTGTGGCTTTTGCGGGTTTGGTGGGTTTGGTGGGTTTGGTGGGTTTGGTGGGTTTGGTGGGTTTGGTGGGTTTGGTGGGCTTGGTGGGCTTGGTGGGCTTGGTGGGCTTGGTGGGTTTGGTGGGTTTGGTGGGTTTGGTGGGTTTAGGGTTTAGGGTTTGCATAAGTCTAGCAGGGCAAGTTACCAGAGGTCACTCCACTATGTTTGGCAGAGATCGGGGTTCTCTTAGATGGCTTTTTCAGTGCAGTGTTTACAGCGTCGTGTTGATGGTTTGGGGTGTCGGACCTTCGGAGAGTGACATGAACCCTAATCCGAACTGCAACTATAGTTTTGCCCAGGCGCCAGACGGATTCCACTTTAAGCAGCACAATGCTTGTTATTCGTGGCGTCACTTCAGGACCCGGCCGCGGAAGCAAAAGAAGGCCGTATGCCCAGCACCCCAGGCAACTCTGTGACGTAGAAGAACTCCCAGCTTCCGCAGGTCGTAGGGTTTAGGGTTTAGGATTTAGGGTTTAGGGTTTAGAGTTTAGGGTTTAGGGTTTAGGGTTCAGAGTTTTGGGCTAGCAGAATGGTTGGGAATGAAGACGCTGCAGCACACGCCCATGCATTTTGGAGAAGTAAGGTATCGTAACATAAAGCCGTCAGAGTAAGAGCTGTTGCCCATCTTTGAGAAAGTCCAGCAGCATCCGAGTCTAAGCCGGCTAAAAGACTGAATGGCACGTTCTTTATGCATAGTGGCTCATACCCTGGACATGCTCAAACCCGGCGCAAACCCCAAAGCTATACATACTGTCCTAACCACGATATGATATACTCCTACTCTCCAGAACTAAGCAGAACATAATATACTCCTACCTACCCCCTGGAACCAAACCTAGATGGTCGGTTGTTTTAAAACTATTGTCCATGTCTTGGGTAGGTACACTAAATAACAAGGGTATGATGACAGACACTCAAGAAACCCAAGCTCTATTCCGACTATTCCCCTAAACCCTAAACCCTAAACTCTAATCCCTAAACCCTAAAGCCTTAGCCCTATCAACGCCCTGGAAGTATCTCGAAGGCACAACGCCCAACTTAGAAAAAATAAAAACGGACAAACCCCATAAAACCCCATAAACCTATAAACCTCACAAAAACCTTTCAAACCCTACAAACACCCTATAAACCCCATAAAACCCTTTCCAACCCTATAAAAAACCTACAGAACACCCGAAAAAAACCCATAACAGCCTTTCAAACCCTAGGAAACCCTTTCAACCCCTGTAAGCCCCTAGAAAACTCCCTAAAACCCCATAAAACCCGGGAAAGTCTATTTTAAAAAGCCCAAAAAAAGACTATCAACCTCCTAGGGCTCTTGGAACGCCATGCTGGTCGCACCTTCCCCGGCGCAGCAAGTGCCAACGTGGATCAGCCCAGGCAGAAATGTGTTCTTCTGGGCTTTTTTTTTGGTGTAGGGTTTGGGGGTTTAGGATTATAGGGTTTAGGGCTAGGGTTTAGGGTTGGGGTTTAGGGTGTTAGGGTCTAGGGTCTATCGTTTACTGTTTAGGGTTTAGGGTATAGGGTAAGCTGCAGGAACCACACAAGCAAGTACCCGTTTTAAAGTGCCCATTTTAAAGTTACATAATGTTTCAATTTGTGATAGAACTGACTCTGCAACCTTATCATGTTAACTTGCTGGTAAATTTATTGACAAGGTTGTTGGGGATGTTGAATTCAAAGCTGTTCGCCTCTGCAGATGACTTTTTCCGAGAGCTTGAGCTAGTCCAGCAAGCCATCAGTCTCAGCACTCTTGAACATCAGGATTAGGGTTTCGGGTTTAGGGTTTAGGGTTGAGGGTTTATGGTTTAGGGTGTAGGGTGTAGGGTTTAGGGTTAAGGGTTTAGGGTTTAGGGTTTAGGGTTTAGGGCTTTTTTGAGCTGAAGGTCTTTTGGGTCTAAGGCCGGGTTACGCGTGCAGGCTTGCTTTCTGGTTCGCGACGCGGGTGTCGGGCATTGAGGGCGCAGAGGCCTATAACCTTGGTAGCCCCGTGGTACCCTTTCGAGGTTCCCTTTATAAATGAACCAACCAAAAAAGGGTGCCCTTGTTAGAATATGTTGTTACTGGGGTACCAAGTAACCCTAAATCCGAAACTGCAACGGAGCTGAGGCACTCTGCCCTAGACCCTTAACCCTGGAATGTTCCCGCTTAGACTAACAGTCCCTATTAATACGGATCATAGTACCCCTACCAGCATCCCCATTAAGGACTGTAAGTATAAAAAGGGGGAGCATCCCAACCCCAAACCCTTAAATCGCTAAAATCGCACCATGCAGCTGTGACAACCGTAGACCCGACCTGACTGCTCCCATGGGGTTTCGAGAATTAGGGTTCAGAGTATTTAGGGTTCAGGGTTCGCCCTAAACCCAATAAACTCTAAACCAGGGTTTAGAGTATTCGGGTTCAGGGTATTTAGGGTTCGGGGTTAGCCCTGAAGCCAATAAGCTCTAAAACAGGATCAATTCGTTCTTTGAGCCGTTGTTGTCCTAGTAGTCGAGTGGATAACCTTTAACCTTTTAGGGGTAGTATCATCCCCTTTGAGTCCCAGAGGTTAACCTTGAATTCCCCCAGGTTACTGGACAACTAAGCTATTGATACTGCAGTTGGCGTTGTGTGGTTGCTGACCCCGAGCATCCTGTATCTCGGTCAGGGGCTCTTAGTCTTCGCCTTCGCCAAGTTGAGAACCTAACCGACAGGAACAACAGTAAAACCTTCGGATTTAGGGTTTAGGGTTCAGGGTTTAGGGGGGTTCAGGGTTTGGGGTTTGGGGTTTAGGGTTGAGGGCCCCCAACACCCTGAACCCCTTCATCCGTGTTCCGAAGTCGCAGGTTATTCTGCGCAGCGCTGTGTACCATCACTGCCATCACGTGGCCACATCGACACGCTGTGGCTTGCCACGCGGCCAGATGTCCCTGTAGTAAAGGGTTTAGGGTTTAGGGTTTAGGGTTTAGGGTTTAGGGTTTAGGGTTTAGGGTTTAGGGTTTAGGGTTTAGGGTTTAATCCTGATGTGATGTAAGGAACATTCCTGTTTGGGCCCTGGGCAGGAAAACCGAAGCCATGGAAGTTCTCTCACACAGTTGCCCTCTTCTGACCCTCTGGTAGTTGGATACGACGCACGAATATTTTCCGAGAGACTCATGCCCATGCCACGAGCAAGATCTGCTTTTTTTTGCTTTTGGCTCTTGATAGCTAGCGCAAGAAGAATAGGGCCCTACTGCAGCAGAGGCCCTTACCATGCTGGGGTAACCTTCAAGCCTCTCAACCCAGTGGAGGGGGACGTAGAACCCCTATCTGATACTGGGTTCGGGGTTTTGGGGTTTAGGGTTTAGGGTTTGGGCCCCCAAAACCCTACACCCCCAGCTTGAAACGGTTGTCCCAGTTTAGGCGGTCACCTCTGCTGCCTGCCTCCGTTCCCTCCATGCCGCGAAGCCACTGTCACAAGTGCGGCACTCAGGTTTGGCCCTTTAAGAAGATTGGGTTTAGGGTTCAGGGTGTATACGGTTTAGGGTTTACGTAGGGCCTTGGGGAATGCAAGAGGATTTTATTTCGGAGCATGTTTCAGAGGGTTTCAAAGGACGGCCCACTTTAGGGTTGGGGCTTCATCGGGGGCCACCGGTTCGCGTCTCGAGGGTTTAGGGCTTCGGGCTTTAGGGCTTTAGGGCTTCCGACTAGGCTGGGCTACTATAAAGGGCCTTGCAGACTGGGAGTTTGGGAATGATGAGGCTCCCACAAGGGTTCGATAAGGAGAGATGGGGGAGCTCGTTTCCCCATTTCCATATTTCGAGTAAGTAGGGACGATGTGCTCGAGAGGGGAAACGAAACTGCCCCGACGAGGGTGTAGGGTTTAAGGCCTAGGACGACTGCCAAACCCTAAACCCTAAACCCTAAACCCTAAACCCTAAACCCTAAACCTTCATAGCTGCAGCTGTCGTTTTCAAAGTCCGGCGATCAGCTCAGTAGTTCCCTGCGCCTGTAGTTCCTATTCGACATGGCGGACCTCCAGGCCAATGGCATGTACCTCTGTCATAGTTGGTTTAGGGTTTAGGGTTTAGGGTTTAGGGTTTAGGGTTTAGGGTTTAGGGTTTAGGGTTTAGGGTTTAGGGTTTAGGGTTTAGGGTTTAGGGTTTAGGGTTTAGGGTTTAGGGTGCTTAAACCCAATAAGGAGTATACACTTAATTTTTTTAAATACTATCCCAAACCATGAACTTAGGTACAAGGATGGTTCGAACCCGGAGAACGTGGAACCTTCCCCGCCACTGTCTTGGGCGTCGAAAGAGGACTTCAAAGAGGTGGTGGTGCACGGAATGCGCATATCCCCGGCCGTCTGCAAGTTACTGGCTTTCCTGAAGTACTACCAGGTTCCTTTCGCCTTCAAGAAGACATTCGGCAAGAAGGGCTCCAAGTATTACAAGAAGATGCCTGTCATGGATGTGGCGGGGCGCCAGGTTAACGATACCTTTATCATCCTAAAGAACATGGTGCCCGCACTGGCAGGATCTTTTGACATGGAGTGGGAGACCAGAATCACCTACCACTACCAGATGTCCACCGATTCTCGGCAGCCCAGTGGTGCCCTTTACCCTTTTTTTGGTTCTTGGTTCCCTGAAAAAAAGTAACCAACCCCAAGAAAGGGGTTCCCTTAGTATGATATGCTTGCTGGGCTGCCAAGGTTTACCTGATCACCAATGACGAGGCAAAGCTCAACATGGGCGGTAAAGGCGGCGACAGCCCACTTCCCAAGTGCATGCTTTGCCTCCTCCCGAAGATCCGCAAGGGGCCCCTGAAGGGCTTGAAGGCCAAGATGGATGATCCCAAGGACGATCGGGTTTAGGGATTTGGGGTTTCGGGTTTAGAGTTTAGGGCTTCCCAGGCTTCATGCAGGGTGTAAGGCTAGGGAGGTCTACAGCCTCGTGCTGAGGCTGGTGTGCGTGGAACACTAAATGCCCTGTACCCTATGACCGGACTGTGCAAGCCTCAATGTGGCTGATCCCCAGGAGATAGAGCAGTTGGTCGACTTGACAGAATTCGCCAAGGAGTTCCAACCGTCCTGGGAGGTTTTCAAGCTTCTCATCCCTTGGGGTTGACCTAGTTTGGCAGCCCTGTGATACCCTTCTTGCGTTATCGGTTCAAGGTTCCCAAGATTGCCTTGTAAAGTATCCAACCCCAAAAAGAGTGCCCTTATTTATACCATGGCTGCTGGGCTACCAAGCTAGGCCCTCACAGTGCTCTTTCAGATTCCCTGAATACCCCCTCTCCCCCTCTAAGCTCTGTGGTGTAGCTTTAGAACCCCTTTTTGGGGTTTATTGGGTTTCTTAACAAGGCAGCAAAAAAATAATATTTATAGCTAGCCTGCCAAGTGCGGCCAAGTAAGGTACACAATGGACCCTCAATATTGTTGGACCCGCCTTAGCTGGGGCCGCCTGGGTACAGTCAAGTTAGCCGGGCAATTTCATGATCGTGCGACTGTTTTGGGGGGTTTAGGGTTTAGGGTTTAGGGTTCAGGGTTCAGGGTTCAGGGTTCAGGGCTTAGGGCTTAGGGCTTAGGGCTTAGGGCTTAGGGGGGGGGGGGGGGGGGGGGGGGGGGGGGGGGGGGGGGGGGGGGGGGGGGGGGGGGGGGGGGGGGGGGGGGGGGGGGGGGGGGGCGGAACACATTCAAGCAGGTCAGGTCCAACATTACAGGGCCTTACAGGTAGCATCTAGGGCTTCATTGTTAGGAGCTTTTGGACTCTGGGGGTTTCGGGCTTTCCTCGGATGTTCAGTATTCCCTGTTTACAGCTCTTGCCCTTCTGCGGCTTCTGCTTACGCTACAAGTAACCCAGCCAGGTGTAGATATTTTCCCCAAATTTGCTGAACCGCCCAACCCTCCCTCCCCATCCCTAAACCCGGAACCCGAAACCGCAAACCCCACACCCGAAACCCAAATCAAACAAAAAGCAGCTGAACCCGAAACCCCACATGCCCTAAACCAGCTCGGGTTGAGGAGTTGGCGGGGACCATGGGCGACAAGCCCTTCTTCCTCGGTGCTGATACACCTGGCCCCGTGGACATCTCCTTCTATGGCGTGCCTTTGCGGAACTCCTCGATCTAGCGTTTAGGGTTTAGGGCTTAGGGTTTAGGGTTTAGGGTTTCGGGTTCTAGGGTTCTGTTGGAGTTCTAGTTCTAGTGGCATGCATTCGGCCATCACATTGTTGTTTGTAGTTGGGGTGTACCAATGAAGGTGAACGCGCGCTTCGTCTTCTGCAAGGTCGATACCATCATCGGCGCGCTCCAGGGCGCTGGGCTGATGCCCTGGTTCCAGCGCATGGAGGAGCTGATCCCACTGTCCGGGAAGCCCGATGCTATGTTCGAGAATCCCGGAGCCTGAACCATGTTTTAGCCTAAGGCAGAAAGCTGCCTTGGATTCCGGCTCAAGGGATGAAGGATTTTGAGATGAGGGTGGGACTCAGGGCATAGGGTTTAGGGGGTTTTCGAGATGTTTTGAGTTTTGGTGGTTTGCACGAAAATTCAGCACCACTTGAGCGGCCGAGTAACGTGGAAGCAGCCATTGCGCGGGGGCGACTCTTCCCATTGAAAGCAGGAGCCCCATATGAGCCCTGCAAACCCTAAGTTTGCTATGTGAGGTAGGGTCTTTTCTTGCAGTGTTTGGTGGGCGCGTATACAGGGTTCCTTTAGTCTTGGTGAGTGTCTATGTGGTGGCGGTCCTTTTTCTGGGGATACCAGAATTGGACCAGAACGAAAGACCCTGCCTCATGTATCGGTAACGTGCTTTGCTGGCTGACACCTGGGGGTCCACAACTCCCAGTGATCGACGGCCATGCCCTTTCCAGTCCGGAGCACTGTGAAAAAAGTTCGTGTGCTGAAAGGCCACCAAAAATGCCAGAGCTGCAGCTTTTCGTGGCTGGGGTCCCTGTAATTATAACCCATGATCATGATCATGATGATGATAATGATGATGACGACGACGATGACGATGACGATGATGATGATGATGATGATGAGGATGATGATGATGACATTGAACCCTAAACCCCTAACCCCCTAAACACCCTCACAAAGCCCAGATCTTTACATGCTGCACCTCAAAGCCTAGACCCTGGACCTTGGTAGCCCCGTGGTACCCTTTACCCGCTATTCTTGGTTCTAGGGTTCCCTTGTAAGGGTTTAGGGTTTAGGGTTTAGGGTTCAGGGTTTAGGGTTTAGGGTTTAGGGTTTAGGGTGCAGGGTTTACGGTTCTGGGCTACCATGCAAGGAACCCCAGATTGTGAGCCCGAAAGGCTCTGAGCTCGTCGACCCTCCTCTCCCCCAGACCCCTGGGAGGATCCAAAAAGTAGATCCCTTTAAAGGTTCCGAAGAATGACCCTAAACCCTAAACCCTTAAACCCTAAACCCTAAACCCTAAACCCTAAACCCTAAACCCTAAACCCTAAACCCTAAACCCTAAACCCTAAACCCTAAACCCTAAACCCTAAACCCTAAACCGGTTCCGTCTTTTGGATCCTCCGAGGGGTCTGGGTCTCCCCGCCAAGCCTCAAGGCTATATATTCTATAAGCCTAAGCCCCTGAACCCTATACCCTAAACCCTAAACCCCATAGCCTGCGCTGGGACCGGGACCCTAGTCCTCAAGAGAATCTCGCTGCTAGGTCTCCAGAGTTCGAGCCGCAGTTGCATCCGTTTCCGCCGCCCGTTTGCAAGCCCTAGCCCAGACCCCTGGGAGGACTGGGTTTAGGGTTTAGGGTTTAGGGTTTAGGCTTAAGGTTTAGGGTTTAGGGTTTAGGGTTCAGGGTTTAGAACCCTAAACCCTAAACTTTAAACCCTAAACCCTAAACCCTAAACCCTAAACCCTAAACCCTAAACCCTAAACCCTAAACCCTAAACCCTAAACCCTAAACCCTAAACCCCAAACAAATGAACCTCAAGGCTCCATCCAGGGGCCCAGGGGTTTGGGAAAGCCAAAGCCTTCGACACACATGTGCTACGCTTGCTACAGCAGATCCCGAAGTCTTCGAACCCTGAACCCTGAACCCTGAACCCTAAACCCTAAACCCTGAACCCTAAACCCTAAACCCTAAACCCTAAACCCTAAACCCTAACTGGATTTCTGGGCCTTCTAGCGCCTCAGGCGGCCTTAAGGCCCACCCTACTGCTGTGGTGTCCAGGGCTACTTGCTGCACCTGTCAGGGAGGTGGTGCTGTTCGTGAGACACAGCGGGCTGTTTTGGGGGGGGGGGGGGGGGGCTAGGTTTTAGGGCTTAGGGTTTAGGGTTAGGGCTTAAGGTATCTAGGGTTTAGGGTTTTAGAGTGTGCGGGTTGAGGGTCTTGGGGTTGATTCTTCTGACATTTGGTCTTTCGATTTTCGGAGAAAGCCGTCGAGGAAGCGCCAGAGGACAGAGCAAGCAGTTGCCCCCCCCCCCCCCCACTGAAAAAGCTTCAGCATGCCAGGATGCAAACGTTTTGAGTCCCAGCATCGCTCTAAACCTCAGACCTTAGACCCCTATAAACCCTATAAACCTTAAACCCTAAACCTTAAATCCTATACCCCTCTAAACCCTTAAACCCTCTAACCGCTTTAAACCCTATAAACCTTAAACCCTAGAAACCCTAAACCTTAAACCCTATAGCCCCTGCAAACCGTATAAACCTTAAACCCTGTAAACCTTAAACCCCATAAACCTTAAACCCTATAAACCCTAAACCTTAGACCCTCTAAACCCTGCTGCGTCTGCACGTGATATAAGGCTATAAGGGTTTTGCGAGCAGGTCGTGCCCATGGCGCTCGAAGAGGCGGCGAGTTCCTTCATAGCCAAGGGGGATTTCGTAGGGTTTAGGGTTTAGGGTTTAGGGTTTAGGGTTTAGGGTTTAGGGTTTAGGGTTTAGGGTTTAGGGTTTAGGGTTTAGGGTTTAGGGTTTAGGGTTTAGGGTTTAGGGCACGTGGGAGGAAGTGATTCGATAGGGTTTAGGGCATTCGGTGCTTGTTTGTGGCCTGGAGGCTCGTGTAGTTTTTTTCTATCTACACCGTCAGTCCGAAGGCTCCGCGTGTGCTGAAGAGCAGGGATCTCAGTAGGGAGCCTCCTCGCGTGAGTAACCCTAAACCCCAAACTAGCCCTAAAACCCTTCCAGCAAGCAACAACATCGGGCTTAAGGTTTTGTCTATGTTGCTAAGCTCGTATAGAGGTCTTCGCTGCCGAAGAGTAGGTTGCGGGGCCCTTCTGAATCGCTCCTGAACTCTAAGCAAGCACGACAACCACCCCCCCTTCGCGGGGTTTAGGGCTTAGGGTTTAGGGTTTAGGGTTTAGGGCTTAGGGTTTAGGGTTTAGGGTCATACAGCACCCTTGCACCCTGTACGCTCAAGAAGCACAATGTTGACAGATTCGCTGTGCTCTGCCGGGGGCGTCGTTGACCTGCCAGCCATTAGCGCCGACTCAAGGCCGGTTTCCAGGAACCTGCATGATCAGGTTCCGGCGTAAATCCCTAAACCCGGAACCTTTTTTGTGGGGTTTAGGGTTTAGGGTTTAGGGTTTAGGGTTTAGGGTTTAGGGTTTAGGG